TTGAGATACCCAAAGATGACCTTTTATTTCAAGGTCTGAAATGATTAAATGATTAAAATTGCTCTTTAATAATTAAATATGCCATCTGTATAAGACAGAGTGTGACCTTTCACCCAGGGTCTCCCAGGCTGTTCTAGAATTTCTGCAGTTGGCACATATGGTATCAGAAACCCAGTGCTATTCTTCCTTTGAAATATTAGAGGAGCAGACTTAGAGCAGCTGTTTTTGTGCTGCCAGATTTCATTGAAATGTGGGTTTTAAAAGCTCTTGGCTTGTCATTTTGAGTTAGCATACCTTAATCACAAATCTCACCATAATATAATTCAACTGATGCCTGAAACTCAATATAGCGGAACATTTGCTGAACAATGCACTTAATGCAACAATAGCCAACCAGAATGTATGTTTTCCATTGCAGTGTCCTTTCATGTTATATGTGCCTTCAAAATGTCTAATAGATTATAAATATTCCTTTTTTATGGCAACAAAATGCCAACAATCTCCATTACGCTGTTCCCTTTCCCCCACTTCATTGGGAATATATAAGAAAATACGACATTTGAAGAGCTATCTGCTTTAAGATTTAGACACTGATAGTACTACTAAAAACTTAATGCAACCCTGTCATTAAGCCAACTGCAGTAATTAGAAAGCCAATAATGAGTTCACATGTCTGTTTGTCTTCATTGTCATATCAGACAACTTCCATGGTTCAGTGATCAACATTTACAATGGTTGGAACAAAGGAATATACTGCAATCACCATAAACAATTTATGTGTGTGTCTGGGAGATGGGGATATCGACCCTGGCTATAATAGTACTGGCTAATTAACCTGGAGTTTTTTTTTTTTTTTATATGCTTACTTTCAACAGACTGTTTATTTAAAAATTCAACTGATAGCCTATATTTGAGCATTTTCAGTGTTGACTTTAATGTCAGTTTTAGAGATAAACTTGACTCTTCACTTCCATTTAAAGTCTTGTGTGGACTTTAAGTCAGACACGAAGTAAGCTAGTCTTATTTTTAAAATACACTTCACATTTTATTTATAAAAATCAAACTATGTGGAAGTTCTTTTAGAATCTGTTATTTGAATTTTTTTCCTCACATAAATTTATAGCCAGAAATCATGAAAAATTATCCCATTTGCTTTATTGAAGCATTTATTGTACTCAGGATTGGGATTCATTATATTGAATTCCAGGTAGAATACGTGACCTAAGTTTCATTTGGCTTTTCTTCCCCCAGGAAGATTTTAAGTCATGAAGATAGATACTGAGCATGCGCTTGTTTATTTATTTCAAGTGTTTTTTTTTTTTTTAATGTGTTCCTCCTATGATGGGTGCAGGAATATTTACCACCCATGGATGAAGCATTTAAGAAGTCAGTATATAAAATAAGTAGCCATCATCCAGAATGATCGTGTGTATGTGAATGTGAGTATGTGTGAGGAGGGCTGCCAGAGTGGGGAGAGAAGGAAGGAGAAAAGAGGACAAGAAAATTCAAGGAAGAGACGAGACAGAGGGCAATTCCTTTTGTGAGGGGAAAGTATGCTGGATCATCACAATAATCCTCTACTCCTATTTTCTTTCTACAACTGCCCCACCCTGCCCTTTGCAAATCATATTACCTGAGATTCTTTGCCCTCTGGCTTTGGGAGGACAGATAGCAGGAGAAGAGAGGTCATGGTATTTTTCCCCTACTCTCTTAGGCGCTTACTTCCTCTACCTTGTAACCACGGTTCCTGCTGGGCAATCCTTAGGTTGTCTCTCAATTTCACCTCTCCACTCTTAACTTTGTCCTTCAGTTCCAGGGCTGAGAAGAGTCCCCCTTTCTTGTAAGTGCCTGGTGCTTTGCCATCCTTTGTTCTTGTTACTCCTGCCATACCTATAAGTGTGTTTCATCCCTTCATTGAATTTTCTTCGATTAACCCTCCTGTATGGTCAGACTGACACAAACACAGAATGTCCAAGAGGGTTATATGGAGGTCACTGTACTTTCCCATTTTCAACATACACATACATAGAGGAGAACAAAGCTGGACTAAAACAGGCCATTTCTGTTGCTCCCAACAGAGGGCATCAGTAGACATGCTCAGACATTTACAGCATGAATCGTTCTTTCCATGAGTCTGTTGGCTCCTTCTCTCTCTTTTAAACAAATATCAACTCTCATCTACACCTGATAAATGCCAAATCAGTGAAAGGGTTGAAATCGTTATAATAGGTATTCATTTTCTTATGACTAAGGCAAAAATAGAGATTACTTGAAAAAAAAAAACACAGGAAAAAAACAGATTGCAGGTGAATGATTTTTTTTTTTTCCACAGTAGCCACTCTGAAGGACAGAGAGTAAATCAAATGATGACAGAAAAGTATTGTTCCTGTAGTGGACTGAATTGTGTCCCCTGCCAAATGCATATGTTGAAGCATGTCTGTAATTGGATATATGACCTTTATGGAGCTAATTAAGATTACACAGGACTTAAGAATGGGACCCTATTCTAAGGGGACTGATGTCCTTATAGAAATAAAAGGAGAAACTAAGAGTGGATGTGCACAGAGGAAAGGCCATGTGAGGACACGGAAGGGCTATCTACAATTCAAGGAGAGAAGCCTTAGGAGAAATCAGCATTGCTACAACCTTGATCTTGGATTTATAGTCTCTAGAACTATGAGAAATAAATCTCAATTGTTGAATCTCATGTTTGTAGTGATATTTCTTCTGGTACCCTTAGCATACTAATCAATGACAAATTAATCCACAAAAGACTGAGGCAATGGGAAAAAAAAGTTAATTATGTGTGGGTAAATGATTGCCTAATTTTTTCAGAATGTTCCTATCAGTATTTGTGTCTGGGTCCTTTAAGAATCATCTGCTAAAATGGAATTAGAAGTTTATTTCTTAAGGAAACAGTTGGAAAAGATAAAGGGGAGGGAACTAGTGAAGATGAAGAGAACCTTCAAACAGCAATGCAGGTCTGACACATATAAAAGAGAGAAGAAATAAGATTGACTTGGTAGTTTCAGGGTACAGAACAGTTCCAAGAAAGTTTCAAACAGATTGATGGGAGTCCTCACGCCAAAATATCCCACTGAAGGCATTTTACATTAGTATCCCTGTCATATTTGGTCTTGACTGAGAGCAGCTTATAGGAAGCATGACCTTGGCATGAATTTAGTGGAGAAATCTGAGGAACAGCAGCTGAGGTTGTGAGTCACTTATGTTTTGATACGGACATTTTCATGGCCATTATCCCATAATATCAAGATGGCTTTTAACAGCTATGGAGACTGAATTCTTCCAAGTTTGAACCCAGGGGAAGACAGGTTTCTTTGTTCCAGCATTCCTGGCAAAATCCCTGAGATTGTCTTGAATTGGACTGTTTATGTCATGTGCCCATCCTTGAATCATCATGGTGCTGGGAAAATTCTAAGCCCTGTTTATTCAGGTTAATTTTCATGCTCTACTTCCAGGGAAGAAGTTGTAGCCCACTCATACCATGAGAACTGAGGAGTAGTGAGAGACAAATTTCCCTAATAAGTACATTCCCTATACAGAATATAAGTATTTTTTTTTAAAAAAAAAAACTTTAATTTGCTACCAGGTTACTTTTCAAAGACACTGTAGCAATTCATAGTTTTACCAAAGGTTATCATGATACCTTTCCCTCCCACATCTTCACCAGCAATATGTGTTAGCAGTTTTAAATGTTTGTCTATCTGGTGGATGCAAATGGATTGTTCACCATTACTCAATTTATAATTTCCTAGTACTGGTGTTTAATATATATTTTTTGCACTATTTATTCCTGACTTGGTTTTGCTCCTGCAGAAGGCCTCTTTTAAATCCCTTGTGCATTTTTCTATTTTCTGTTTTGTTGTTGTTGTCGTTGTTGTTGTTCTTGTCAGTTTATAAGAGTACTTTTCATACTGTAGCTAATAGTCCTCTATCTGTTCTCTGCATTACAAATAGGCAAGGGAAAAATAGTTGAACTCTATGCATTTCTTTACTTTCTCCATATTTATTGTCAATATTTGATCCAATTGCCCCCAAATCAATAGATCAATATGCCAGGAATGTGTGGGACAACTCCATCATTCTTTATTTTAGTTTTCAGTACTGGGGGTTGAATTTAGGGGCACTCTGCCCCTGAGCAACATCCCCAGCCCTCTTTAACTTTTAGTTGGAGAGGGGGTCTCAGTTGCCCAGGCTGGCCTGTAGCTTGCCATCCTCTTGCCTTACTCTCCCATGTGGCTGACTTCACAGGTAAGCACCACGACCCCCAGCTCATTGTTCATTTTTGAAAAATGGAAAAAAAATAAGCAGTGGTCAAGGACAAAATTCTATCAGCCACCCCTCCACACTCCTGCTGGACTACTATTGCTCAAATTTCAGCCATTTGGAACCTCCTTTCCAATTCTTGCCATATCCTTAAACTATGTACTGTTATTTGTTTTTCTGACATTTGATTTTTTAACACAGATTTATTTTAAAAGGAAGTTCGCATTGTTTCCATTATATCATTGTAACTACTAGTTATATTAAAGTAATTACAAAGCTGTGGAAAAAGATATTCATCTGTGTAGCACCTAATACACACTGTACATCGATTAAGAAACCCATTAGAGCACATACAAGAGGGTCACCAAACTAGTTAAGGACAAGATCGAAGGTTTTCAGAACTGCACGTTTCACATCAGCACTCCATCTCACCCCCATGAGGTGGGACGGGTGGTGGGTTCGTTTACATTGGAGGAAAGGCGCAACTGCTTCACACGCTGTGGGTAGTGGAATTAGAATCAAGGCCTTTGTCAAAAAATAACAACTTCTGAAAAAGATGGGGACTTTGGAGGTAAACAGACCTAGATCAAACCCAGGGGATGCACTGTACGGGTGTTCAGGGCCCCAGAAGCCCGAGCCGAATGCCCACTGGGATTACATTACCAACATTCGGCATTCTAGCCAAACTATGAGGGGTTCTGAGATTCTGCTAATTATGCTGAGGTCCAGGCTGGGGTGGGGAGGTGTCAGGACCCCGGGCAGTGATGGGTCACAGTCCCTGAGCAGAGTCCGCCTGTGCCAACCGGCACCCAGGGACCGCTGCACTCCCACTGGCTAGAGTCGCCAGGCCTGAGGAGCCATGTGCTGGCCGAGGACATGGGGCCAGATCTTCCTGCCGGTTCTACTTTCCCTCTTTCTAGTCCAACTGCTTATCAGCTTCTCAGATAATGGTTTTTCCCAAATGTACAGAAAAAGAAAGGAGGAGAAACAGAAACGAAAGACTTCGATTGAGGAAGGTGAGTGCACCGGACCTGAGGCAGTCTTTCCGGACCGAGCTGTCCTAGCTCACTAAAATGTCCATCTCAGGAAAACTTCCATGGGGGGCCTGGGGTTGTGGCTCAGTGGTGGAGCGCTTGCCTAGCACGTGTGAGGCTCTGGTTCCATCCTCAGCACCACATAAAAGTAAATAAGTAAAATAAAGGTTTTGTGCCCATCTACAACTTAAAAAAAAAAAAAGAATCTTTTTAAAAATTTGCATTTGATGTTCTGGGCAAAGTCACTTTTAAAGGCTAGACATTTTTGGGAGAAAACCCGATTAAATTGTACTCGATTTGCTTTGTGGATTAAAACAGGTTTAAATTTGGGAAAGGGATGTTTTTCTCCTTCTTTTGGCATGACCTACATATATCACATCAACTTTATGCTCTGAATAAGCCGCTGAAATTTATTCTAATAAGACCACACTCAATGACCATAATGGCTCGTTTTCCTTAATGTTCTAAGTTCTCAGCTAATAAATTGCTTAATTTGTTGTCTTTTTTTTTCTCCTTAAGAACTAATTATTTCACTTTGAAAGCTTTCCTTTGTTTTCCTCCCCAACTGAAGAAATTTTGAAATGTTAAGAGTCATGCTGAGTTGAATTCATGGACCTGAAAATAAGGTTTATAATATCTTAAATTGGAATTGTATAGATAGAACAGAGAGAGAGAGAATTACTCAGAAAATCTTGGCCCTATAAAGCCAGGATTGCCATTTTTAGGAAGACAGAATAATTACTGCTGTCTCCTTTCCAGAGTATAAAAGAATGCTAGCTATGTGTAAGCAAATCAGTCTTCCTTATTAAAAGCCAACCCACAGCTCTCAGCTTTGTACTGAAATAAGAATCTCCTTTGAGGGGGAGGGAGAGGGGATGGGCAAAGACTGAATCAAAGAAACTATCTTGCTTCCTGTGTCTCATTTTCTCCATAGATTTTTTTTTTTAATGCTCTTGATCACTTCTAAACACAATCCTAAACTGTATTCCAGAGTCACTATGACCCCTTCTTATAAACATCACCTAGGAGCCTAAACCAAAGGGTAGAAACAAATCTTTTCCTTGGTTGCCTAGCAAAAGGAGTCATATAGTGGAATTTTTCAAAAGACTTTATTAAAATGCTGAAGAACAACAACAACAAAAAAGTAAACGGACAAAACGAATTTAAAAATCACAGTTAACAGTCTGGTCTCCAGAGATGGAAGTTCTGATTCTAGCTAGCTCAGCTGTAGGGCTGACCAACCCTGGTTCATGCTTCTGAGGAAACATCTTGAGTCAGCAAGTCAGGAGCTCCCAGAGAGTTGGCCTCCTAGCCTCAGGCAGGTTCCCCATTGTGCTTGCACTTAGCTTTCCCATTCATCAAGGATCTGGATTCTTAGACATCACACTTTTCATTCCCAACACCTAGAAACCTTCACTGAAATCCTCACCTACACTGCTGCTTGTTCTCTGAGTGACAGGTAACAGACAAGACTGTAGCATTTCCCATCAAGCCTTGAGTTTAGGTAAATATTTACTAAAAAGTGGCTTAGTTTAGTGACTGAACTTGAATTTTCATGTTTAAGTGTTTCTGCCCCTCGCAGAAATAGAATTTGGACCTTATGCAGAAATACGATAAAAAACAATTTTACTAAAAAGTGGCTTAGTTTAGTGACTGAACTTGAATTTTCATGTTTAAGTGTTTCTGCCCCTCGCAGAAATAGAATTTGGACCTTATGCAGAAATACGATAAAAAACAATTCTGGTATTGAAAGGACTGGATCAAATTTCACCTCTTCCATGATGCCTTCTTTGGTCTACCTAATCTGAGGGAATAGTTGATTCTATATTTAGCTGTGCCTCTCTGACAATTCCTATTTCATTCTGAAAGGCAGACCAATGACAAAGACAAGGACAGTGGCTCTTACTGCCTGGACTCACGGCCCAGCTTCATCATTTGCTAGGCCCATATATACCATGGCAGCTTTATTATCAGTAAAATGAGAATAATGTCATCCTCAAGTTGTCACTGTGAGGCTCAAATGAGTTCATACATATTATGCATTCACAAAACTGGTGCATGTGTCATATATATATAATAGTTTTTGGGGAAAAAAAGATGAGGGCAATAAGAATCCCTGAAAAACAAAAAGCAATTGAGACCAGACTGATGGGAAAAAAAAATCACAAATAGGAGAGGATTAAAGTTCTGGGGTCCTTACAAGGCCAGCAACTGTAAATACAAAGAACCTTAGGGAATATGTAGAGCAACTGTCAAGTGATCTTGGAGCACTACTGCTGATTGCCCGTCCACTTTCAATTGTCTTAAGCAGCAGACAGTAGAAACAGCAGAGGCAACTACCCATTATTAGCAATGAATGTAAATTCTTGGCCTAGAAAGCAAGCAAAAGATATATATGACCTGCCTGGTACATATACTCCTTAGTTCCTAGGAGGCCGAGGCAGGAGAGTTGCAAGTTAGAGGACAGCCTCAGCAATTTAGCAAGACCCTGTCTCAAAATAAAAATGTGGGGATGTAGTTCAGTGGCAGACCACCCTAGGTTCAACCCCCCAATATCTATCTCTCCCTTTCTCTCTCTTTCACTCACACACACACACACACACACACACACACACACTCATAAACAAAAGATACACTGACAACACATTGAGCCTAATACCATGTTCCAACTCTCTCCCTTTATTATTACTATTTATTATTACTAATTATTACTATTAATGCTATTTCTGCCTCGATAATGCAGAAATAGCATTGATAGTAATAATTAGTAGTAATAAATAGTAATAATAAATTACACCTAGACCTAAAAAATGTTCACACAATCTAGAATCACAAAATCCAATGGATAAAGAACCAACTTATTAAGAAACATTTAATAGATTTAAAAAAATTGAAACTATAAATTCTGAATATATTCTCAAAGAGGATGGAAAGGAAAATATCCCAAAGGAGATTCCTAAGGTAGCAAATAGACCTATATGCTAAAATAGACAGCGAGACTCCATGGATCAGAGAAAGACAGTTTATTATTCATAGCACAGCAAAAAGCAGGAGTGTCAGCATGGTAGTATCAGGTTTTGTTTTGTTTTGTGCTCCCAAATCCTATGGAGCAATACGATGGACCCATATGATAGCTATGATTATAGCCAGTTGTGCTGCGGCTAAGGAACTCAAGGGTAAGAGTTTGTGACTTTTTATAATAAGCAATAAAAAAATTGAGTTTCCTGAAGAGTAAGTAGTTGTGACTATAATCCGATTGTGGTTACCCTGAGATATTCAATTAATTATACAGCTAGATGTAGAATAGTATCAGGGTCAAAGGTGATTAAACCAAGAAATTTGACACATTCAGCAAGAAAATTCAGGGGTACCCAGGGCCTAAGATGGTGGCCTCTCTCAAAACATTAATATTCTCATGGAGATATGCACGAAACAAGAACAAACTATTATGGAAAAGACTAAGTATCCTAAAAATTAAAAATATAAGCAAGATGAACATAGTGAAAGAATAAATTAGCAAACTTAATGATAGAACCATGGAATTCTCATAGAATATAGTACAAAGGTCAAAAAATGTAGAACATGTAGAAAAAATAAAAGAGTTCATGCCAATATTAGTGTAATAGGAATGTTAGGAGGTAGGGGGCAGAGAAATAAAAGAGAAGAAATAATGAAAAAGAATTTACCAAAAACATCTTTACATTTTTAAAAAATGTTTGGTTTGAAGCTAGAATATATAAACCATCGTAAGCAAGTGATTCTTAACTTTAGAAATTATATAAAATTAAAATATCTGGACACCTAAAGAGTCAAAAAGTTTAACACTCCCAGACTCTGTATAAAAAGTATAGTGAAGGCTATAAGTCAGCAAAATGAAAAATGAATCTAAGGGGAATATGTGAAATTTGAGAAATTGTAATAAGCAAAGAAACTAATAAATGTAAAATAATTGAGTCAATAGCAACTTAAATATATCATAGTTCATATAACAACCCCCAAATTAAAGCTATTCAATAGTAATAAAAATTCCATGTGATTTCTCCTCCGAAATCACATGGGGAGGAATTGGAGGAGAGTGAAATCATATTAGGATTTTTCTACAAGGAGAGAATGTATGTCTTAATTAGATAACAATAGAAAGGTGCATATAAAATATCTCTTTTATATATTTTTAATTCTAATTTGTTATATATGACAGCAGAATGCATTACAGTTCATATTACACATATAGAGCACAATTTTTCATATCTCTGGTTGTACACAAAGTATATTCATACCATTCGTGTCTTCATACATGTATTTAGGGTAATGATGTCCATCTCATTCCACCATCTTTTCTAACCCCATGCCTCCTCCCTTCCCCTCCCACAACTTTGCCCAACCCCACTATGAATCAGCTTCCTTATATCAGAGAAAACATTTGACATTTGGTTTTTGAGGATTGGCTAACTTCACTTAGCTATATTCTTCAACTCTGTCCATTTGCCTGTAAATGCCATGATTTTATTCTTTTATTGCTGGGTAATATTCCATTGTGTATCTATGCCACATTTTCTTTATCCATACATCTACTGAAGAGCATCTAGGTTGGTTACACAGTTAAGCTATTGTGAATTGTGCTGCTATAAACATTGATGTGGCTGTGTCCTTGTAGTAAGCTATTTTTAAGTCCCTTGGGTATAGACTGAGGAGTGGGATAGCTCAGTCACAGTTCAATAATAGAAATAGGAGGTGTGACTTAAACTGACAAAGGAAGTGAACAAATAATAGGTTAATGGTATAAGAAACCTTGTAAATGTTACTGAAGAAGGCAGCAAATGTAGCAATATCAATATTTGATGAAGAAGAATTCAAGTTGCAAAATTACTAAGTAGGAAAATAAATGATATTTCATATTGACATATAATAAAATACATCAAGATGACCAATTATGAACCGTTATTCGCCTAACAACATAGTTTCGAGTACACACATCAAATGCT